CATATTATTTTGTCCTGTGACTACCCATGAGTTTTCCCTTGTCTGATTGTCTTTGCCACTGTCACACCTGAATTATAAAGGCATAATAAACATATTTCAGTTGTTTTAGTCTAACTCCTGTTGCCGAATTAAAAGAAAACTGGTCATTTTCGGAAATACGAATAATTAAAACTGTCCTTTTATATATTTCCACTGGCTATTATTATTATTATTTTTTTTAGAATTGTTTATTGATCAAATTTTCCAAACTTTTACAACAACATAGATCAAAAATACATGTTTAGCAAAATAGAAGAAAAATACTTTTTTTAGAATAAAAAAAAAATAAATAGAAACAAAACAACATTGAAAAAAAAATGTTGTGTATCTATAACACAAAATCAGCTTTCCAATAAGTCTGTAAATAGTTCCCATACTGGTTGTTGTTGTTTTTTTATATGAAAACATATTTTAAAGATATCAAACATAAAAAGTATTATTTATTTATTTTTATTTTATGATTTTATTTATTTTTTTATTTCATTCTTCTTATTTATTTTTATTTTATTATTACAAAACAGAAAAAGAAGCATACAGTCTGACCGGTCTAGGATTAAAACAGCGCCCTCTACTGTTGGACAGCCATTAGCAGCGTGTATCACTGCCTTGTGGCGCCCCCTGCTGGTGCGTCAGGGAGGAGCTCTGTAAATAATGCGTCATCATGTTTTTCCTCATGAGAGGAGTACTGTCACTTCACCTGTTGACAGCTTGAATGATTGTGACGTAACGTTACTGGAACCAGCCCTGCTCGCGCTCCTCCCGCGCGCCTCTGTGACCCTAAACGAACGCTCTGTCGGTGTTTCCACCCAGTCAGCCAATCAGCCGTCTGCCACCAGCTGCGCAGCGTCTCCCCTGCCACATGCACAGAGCCAAGGTCCAGACAGGGAGCGGAGAAAACGCCGGGAGTTTTTACTTGGATTAAGAGGAAGACCCTTGGATTACAGAACCCCTTTTGGGTTTTATTTTTTTTTATTTTATTTTTACTGTGATCTATAAATTGCCACCATGTCTCGGACGCCCGACGGGGTGAGCAAGCTCACAGAAAGCACATTCAAGGTGAGAGAGCCGCGTCTGAATCATCTTACCTGCTGCTTCTATTATAAATAAGGCTTGGTGCGTAAAAGTGTGTTTTACAGTCAGGGAGTGACTTAAAGAATATAAAATACCCAGAATGGGCTTTTTCAATATAAGTTTTTGGTTACATTTTTGTGTTCTCTGGTTAAATTTACTCTTTTTGTTGATGGATTTTAAAGCCAAAAGCTGCTCTAGATGCTGCCCTGCAATCTGTATGATGGACTGATAACACCAACCTGTTCCTTAATCAGCAATTTAAACTGATTCAATCAGTGGTTTGTTTTTGATTAAGATCACAAAGCTGTGTTATGTTTCTATAAACGTTAAAACTGCCAATAAAAACAACTATATTGGTTTAATCAGATACAAACTCGTACTTATCTTTTTCAAGGGCCGGCCCAAGGCTAAAGCAAACTGAGCTCCTGCTTCTATGGACCCCATGCCAGCGGGGGACCCCAACAGCACCTACTTAAAGAATATAATTCTTAAAAAAAAAAATCAAATCCATTTAATACTTGAAGAAACAAAGTGATGATGTATTTTAAACTAATTTGACTGTAAATAAATCTGACTGATCGTTTTCAGCGTGTTGGGAGAATGAAAAATACGTTCAACTCACAGATTGAGACGGGATTAATTAATGACAAAAAGACAGCAATATTTTAGGGGAACCTAAGAAGCACATATTCCCCATAAAATAAAAAAAAGGCATCAAGAACCAATAATTCTATCATTATACATCTACAGCTGAGGTCCGAGCAGCCTACATCATTATTATATTGCAAGATTAATGTTTTTGTTCAACTTCAAAAACTGTTAACAGATCATTTAGCTTCAGCGAAATCAGATTTATCCCAATTTTAAGAGGTATTATGTCCATTTTAGAATGATACTGCCACCTGTGGCCAAAACAGAGAATTGCAGCTCTCTTCTGCTCATTCCCATAGCTCTAAGAGAGGAATTTGACTTTATTGAGCTCATAGTGGATAAATTTACTTGCTACATCGGCTCAATAGTCAAAAAGAGGGAAAAGGTGCATGGGGGTATATACATTAGATACAGTGTGTCCATATATATATATATATATATATATATATATATATATATATATATATATATATATATATATATATATATATATATATACGTAGCTGTTGCAGTGGGTATCGAATATAGAAACGGGTTATTGCACATGGTATTAAATAGTTATTGCACTTCAGATATTGCACAAGTTATTGCATGAGTTTTGTTGTTTGTTTGTTTTTTAACATTGAGGCGCTTGACGTCACATCCGCAGACAACGCCTCTGTGGACTTCCAACCTTAAGTAAATTCCGGGAAAATAGACTGCATGCTTATACACGCAAATAAAAACGTTATTTTATAGATATTTTCCAGTAGAAATGTCACTTTAAGTCTGTCAGCAATATTAACAATATGTCTTTGCACTAAAATAAAAGAATTTAACTAACAGCAGTGGTCCTGTTCCCACCGCTCCCAATAGCAGACATTATGATGCAGTGATTCAAATGACCTAACCTACCTTAACTGTAGCATGGTACACTAACAATAATGCAGACTATACATTAAAAAACAATCTGATCATGATGATGCATCGTTAATAGTGTGCACCTTACCCAGAACTATTGTCTTCTTATTCCAAGAATTATTTGGACCTTTGTTGCTTGTTAGAGCCAAATAAAATGAGTGATTGTATAGAATCGGTCTCATTTCCTGCTTTGATAAACAATATGCACTAATAAAAGACGATTAAGTAATTGAGGGTAATTTAGTTGTGAACTATGAAACTATGTGCCAGGTTAAAGATTAGTAAAGTTATTTTTGGTGACGAGATGTATTAGCAGAAAGTGGACCTTGATTGCAAACAATTTAAATCTAAGTTGATTAATTTATCTTAAAATAAGTAAATTTTTTTCTTGAATTGAGCAGGTAAGGGAAGCAGAATAAGAACAATAAGACAATTTACATTTAAAATAAGAAAAAAAAATTGAAGTTCATAACATCAGATTTTCTTGTTTCAAGGGTAAAAACACTTGATCCATTGGTAGATCATTTTATTTACCTACTGAAGTTAAGGGTAATACTCTAACATAATTAACCATTTCATTATGTGAAGTGTTTTAATGCATGAATGGTTAAAATGTGGCCTGATCTCTGTTAGAATATAAATAGAGAAAGTGAGGGAGGCGGCAGGAAATCCAGGAACGGGTCTTTGTTTTACTCCTCTGTGCCACCTAACCCCTCTATGGTTCTGTTCAGGGTGTTGCCAGGCTGTTTTAAAGGGGGAGGGTAAAACTTTCTAAAGTGAGGTGGTTTATGCTGTAAATAGTACTTTGCTCTTCTGGGTTTTTCTCTTCTTTTTTTTTTTTTTTTTTACAGCTGAGAGGTCAAGTTAAAGATTAAATGTCTTTATTGTCCTTTTGTGATGGTATTTTTAGAGCATCAGCAGAAACGGTTTCCCTTGGATCCTGCTTCTCCACCCTAGCCACCAAAATAGCCTGAAGAGTCTTATTATTGTTATTATTATTATTCACTTCACTCAGGTTGAGGTTAATTTGAGGTGTTTACCTGTAAGAGAAAGAGAAACCTACATGTTCAGACAGTTGAACTGTTGCAAAATAACCGCGGTTTGTTTCTGGCATAACAATGTGTCCTCACTCGGTTTTTCCCAGAATGTGATGGAGCAGTTCAACCCAGCTCTCAGGAACCTGGTCAACCTTGGGAAGAGCTACGAGAAGTCCGTCTCAGGTAGAGTCCGGTTCCACCTTCACATCCCCTGCACCTCAGTGGTCCTGTTCAAACTTTCAGAATCAAAGTGCCTCTGTTCTCTTGCAGCAATGACTCTTGCTGGAAAAGCATATTTTCATGCTGTGTCCAAGATAGGAGAGAACGCCATTGTGTCTCCCATGTCCAGGGAGCTTGGTAAGTTCATGCATGTCTACTTTCAGGTTGACTGCAGTGAAGGAAATGTGGTGTATGTTCGGTTGCCATGACACCGGGCTCCTTTTATAAGCTTAATTTGACATTCACGAAAGAGTCGGTCCCCATTTTCTTTCTTCATGTTCATCTCTGCATGTAAAGGTAGATGTAGATATTAGATCCAGGACAGATGGAGCCTCTGGGTCTGAGGAGTGATGACTCATCAGGTTGGACAAAGGGAGCGAGGTATCGCTAATGAGCTCAAATATTGGCTGTCGGTCCCGTTTTAACATAATTCTGATTCACTCCCATTTAAGAGTGAAACAGATGGGGAGATGGAACAAAAACAAACGGCTGATCTGGATCGTTTTACCACTTATTATAAAATATTTTGTACCAGACATTCCGAAACAGCCCGGAATTACAAACCTTCAATGTGTTATGCATACTGAAATCATCACTGTTTTCTTACACAGTGGCTACAGATGATATTTGTGAAATATTATTGTATTTTTAGTCCTTCGCCATTACTCCATAAGCTTAAACAGAATCCAGTCCAGTCAGCCTTTACAAGCATCTGTAAGCGACAGTAAGTGGCCCACTGAGGCAGAACTTCATCAGCATTCAGAGGCATCAGAACCTCCCGCCCTGCATGAAGTGCAGCAGGGTCTTTTTTTTTTTCTCTCATATGAATGAGTCATCAGACAATTGGATCAGAGCCGACCTGCTGGTTCCAACAATGAGAGCCATTACTTCCTGCTACCTTGTGCTGTTCTTAATGTTCAGGCCCTTCAATCACATCTCAGGTTGAAAATAATTTCACTTTTCTTTCATGAAAAACAAAATCCGGTTCTGTAAATGTTCTGCTTTAACAGAAAGAATGAGCCATTCTCTGTAGAAAGCAATTTCAATCAGCACAGCTGCTGTTATGTGAAAATTGAAAGGGATATCTGGGATCTTTCAGATCAAATATAGTAAAGTTAGGATTGTCTCTTGATTCCAGGCCTATATTTACCACTAGAACTTCTGCAGTTGGTCAGAAACAGACCTGAATGATTCTTTCTGACAGATCAGGTGGAAGGGAAAATAAATGTGCTTCTCAAAGTTTTAGTGAATGAAAATCAGTATAATGTGCTAGTCAGTATGTGAATATGATCTAAAGCGTGCAGCTCTGGCTAGCATCCCCGCAGCATGATGCTACCACTATGTTTCCCTGCAGGAATGCTGTTTCCAGGATAATGTAAACAGAACTGTTTTTAGAGTAATTGCAGTTTGGCTTAAAGTGCAGACAGTTCTTATGCCTCTCTCCCAAAACAGCCCAGAATTTTTGAGTGATCGCTTAAGGTTGCTCTGTCAATAGATTCTCTCACTTGAGCCGTGGATCTCTGCAGCTCCTTCAGAGATTTGAGTTCAGTGTGTCATCCTGAATATGATTCAGAGGTATCCCTATTGCCATCCATTAGAGAACAGGAGTAAGTTCTTTTAAGAACAGACAGATTTGGTTCTGTCCAGAAAATCCATTGAGCTCCAAATAAGCAAAACAAAGAAGATGATGCATCTTGAAATGTATCTGATTTGGCTGCTGCTATGGAGCTGTCATAAAAAGCCGTATGATGGTAAGAGACATCCATTCCTGTCTTGTTACGAAACCCAGATCAGGTTTGCTCAGCCACACCTTGCAGCGAACAATGGTCAGGCACGTTTGCTGCATGAAATGTTTTCTTTGCTGTCCCTAACTGCAGCTCCTCCGCAAATATTCACCATGCATTTCACCCCAATCAATAAAATATTAAAGATCAACATGATAAAGATAAAGAGGCACATTTAGTTTCACACTACTTTAGACTACACAGGAGGGCTATAGTACACCGGTATATATGAGCCTTCCACTGGCTCTTTGCTCATCCAGTCCACCTTTAAAGGTGAAAGACCTGCAGTAATTCAAGCTCATAACCTGTTAGACCCATCTCCTCGCTCTGGCTCTCAGGTATGACAAAGCAGCACGTTTTAATCAAGCATTAGATTGTTATTCTTTCTTTCTCACAGCACCATGAATGGTGGAAGGGAGGCTGTTGACAGGAGGGTGGTGCAGGCCTCTGATCCTGTTCTCCAGTCTCTTTCCACGGTTCAGATAAAGCTGTGTTTTTTTTTGTATGTTGTAGTTTGCATTTCACACTGAAAGCAGAGCGGCCACCATGATGCTCGCCAGGCTCCGCATCCTTTGGCACCCATGGTTAAATATGTTTAAAATGCTATATAATTTCAGACAAAAAAAAAAGAAGAAGGAAGCTTTGGTGTTAATCAATATGTAAAACAATTCCCACATTAATGAGTAATCTTTTAACTCAAGTCTTTTGTTCCTTTATTGCTTCAATGTCTTCTCTTAGAGTTCTTATGGAGGCTGCTGGATGGGTGGTGCTTGTTTTATACTTTATATCACTGAGAGTTTCGCTGGCTATCTTTATCTCTTACCTGCACGCCTTTTTATGGTTTCTTATGTTTCGGGATGTTTGGTTTCCACACCTGTGACTCGTCATTATTTATTTATTCAAATAAATCTAGTTTAATCAATGGGTCATAAGGAAGTATGAAGGGACAAGCCACTGGATGGTTCCTGGTTTAACCATCAACCAGTGACTTTGTTCTGATGATTTAAAGGGAGGCGGAATGCTGCAGACGTACCCAGAGAGTCGCCCTAAACCGAGGAACAACAGCAGTTTGGATGTTGCTTCATCTGTTGTCTCAACCCTAACTATAAATTATGACTCAATGTGATCAAAGTTCAGATAAAACTGATATGAGGTCCATATGCCGATGGAGCCATTTTTTCCCCCTTATCAGAACCAAAGAGGTGGGACTTGTTCAGGCCAATGCTTTCCCACCTCATAAAACCTGTCAGCTGTTCAGAGTGTAAAAGGCGTTAGTTTCTCTTCCGGTCATAAAAATCCTAAAGGTGGCTTCAACTGAGCCATATGTATAAAAAAAGAAAAGCATGGAGATTGATAATTGCTGTTCTGTTGCTGCTGGGGCATTATTTCTGTTCTGTTGATTCAGTAGAGGGTGGATGGCGTAACTTTCTGAAGGACTGGTGTGGACATGTCCCCACCAATAATTACAATACATACACTTTGGTTCTTGACAACATGTGGGATACATTTCTAAATTTGATTTTGCTGGAGATAATCACTGATGTAGCTAAAAGCGAAAGCAACCATCCATCCACATTTTTCTGGATGGATTGATGGATGAATGAAACAGAAATTGCTTCCATAATAGGGACGTATGATATATTGCTGTTGGCATTGGAATTGGCTGTAATTCATCCTTGTTTTTTTTATACATTAATGTCCAACTACCTATAAATATCAGTGTATTTTGGTTCTTTTGTGTTCTCAACAATAGGAAAGCATTCAATAAATATGTTTGAGCTCATTTTTTGGAAAATATAAACCCTATTGAAAAAGTTTGTGTCGAGTAACTGTTGGTCCATCAGCCACCACAATCAGTGTCCCCACAAACTTTCATTACAAAGTTATACCCTTGGTGTGAAGCAGAGCTCCTCTTTCTGTTTATCACTGAGGTCTAATCTCCAGCATGTATCAACATGTGTTATTAAACCACTTGAGCAAGAATTTATTTTCGTTTTAAGCTCTGAGATAATGTAGTTCAATAAGCAAAGACTTGAAACGGGCATAGATGGGAGATAAGCAGGTGTTGCTGTTTAACCTGATGAAGTGGCTTCATGCACGTGTGAAAACACTGCAGACCGATGAGGTCAAATGGTGTCGCCCTCTTCAGGTCCTGACACCACTCTGAGTTTCTGTAGCTTTAAGCCTCCCTCATTTCACACCTTCACCTTATAGGTGAAACCAGCAGCTTCACAATGGCCTCTTTGACCCCCCATCCCTACCAACACTGTCCGCTGTTCACCCCCAGCTTCAGCACAAAGGCAGCATTTACCAGTACGTTCTGGTGACCTTCAGAGGGCAATGTTGTTAGAGCTTCACGGCAGAACTGCTGCTCTGAATGTTCGGGTCATTAAAGCCCGTTTTTCTCTGAGTCAGGTGCTGTTCCAGTGTGCTGACACTGGCCCAACACCTCCCGTCCTTCTAGTGAAAATGGACACAGTCCCATCCTAATATAATACTCTTTTTAAAAGGAAATAAAAAAGCAAAGTGTTCTTCCTCACACCGATAAAACAAATGGACAGATATAACCACTAAAAAAGGCTTTGAGGTCAGCCTTTCTTTTTTAAATCAGGCTTAAAAGAAGTTCTGATCTATAGATATTGACCTCCGTTCTAAAGGTTGTCTGTGATTTCTTGCAGGTGTTGTTTTGATGGAGATCGCAGATAGCCACAGGAGGCTCCACAATGAACTAGAGGAAAATGTAAGCAACTTTAAAATCAGATTTTTGGGTTGATAAATGTATTTTCTTTGTGTTTAGCAACGTGCTGGTTTGCAGGCTCTGGTCAAATTCTCTGTGTTTTGATGTTTTATTGAGATGATAGAAAAGGCAGCAATTTCTCAACTCTCTGCTCCCCCTCTCCCACCTGTTGCTGTTTAGCTGGATGTCAAAGTTTTAGTACAAAGAGGAGAATGAAAAAAGGTCATAATTCAGCCGCAAGAAGCACTTACATTGCTACAGGGATTAGATGTTTACTTTAATCAACTTAAGTCTGTGTTAATAAGTAAAGATAAATATGTAAAGAAAGTGTATTAATGAGATCAAATCAAATTATTTTAAATTTAAAGAAAAAAAGTTAAGATTTCTTATAAGGATTGTAGAAAAGATAAATTAGAGGAAAAAACCCAGTTAAAGTGAAAACCACAAAAAAGAACAACATTTTTAGGTCTTTTTCTTGAGTTGTTTCACTTATTCTGCCTTTAAGAGTCCAAACTTTGTGGTCCGGTTTATATTTTACTTCTTACAATAAGCGTCAGTGATGTTTTGGAGACATTATTGGGTTTGACTCTGATTGACCGACTTGGATGTAGAAAGACTTCACACCTAGCCCAAGTGTTGCAGGTGCAGGTTAGACCAACCTGAGGGATTTGCTTATTTTTCTCAATGAGATGAACGATAACTGTTAGCTTTATCGGGCAACACTAAAGCAGCCCGCTGAGTTTTATTAATGAAAACAGTAGAAATACTTACATGCTCCACTAGTTCCAACAGATACAGTCCATCAGTGTAAAAAATACCTGCTTGTATTTGCAACCGGTCCATTGCAATCTCAGGTTAGCTGGTTTAAATTTGCTAAATGCAGATGCTAATATTTATATTTTAATCTAAATGAGCTGCAGTAGATCAAGCTGCTCGGATGTCTCCTGTCATTCCCCCTCTCCTCCTAAAAGATCGGTCTCATTTCTATCTGCAGTTTAAAAGATTTCACAGAGAGATTCTTGTTGAGCTGGAGAAGAAGACGGACATGGATGTAAAGTACATGACTGTAAGTGTCTCAAAGCAGGGTGCCAGTGTCTATCTGACCAGTTTATTTCACATCATTTAGGTTTAACATCTGTAATGTCCAACGTTTGTCTGCAGGCTACTTTTAAGCGCTACCAAACGGATTATAAACTAAAGCAGGAGTCTCTGGACCGCTCACAGACGGACCTGAAGAAGCTCAGGAGGAAAGGACATTCAAAAACCACCTCTAAATTCGGCCTGAAGGAGAACGAGGTGAGACTTTCAGCTCTGTGATATCTGTCACATCGAAATACTTCAACCCTCTGATCGGTAAACAAACAAATTTATGGTTTCTGCTACTTTTTACAATTCTTTTCAAAAGGTTCACTGTTGTTATCTTTTTAAACTTTCAAATAGCTTTATTGTGTACAATATTGCTTGCAAAATGTTTCACTTTTTATTCATCTTTAAATTAATTATTATTGGTCCTAAAGGAAAATTAAATGCTACTGTAACTCTAGTTCAGGTTTCTTCAGCAAGTGCTGCTGAGTCATCTTACAGAAACATGTTGATTGATCAGAGGCATTTTGTTCCTGTCTGTTGGCTTCAGCTAATGTATAACAGTTATTTACAAGCAGATGAAAACTGTTCTTTTAGAAATCCCATAACCAACATGACTGTGTCACTGCTCCCAGAACAAAGGAACAAACCTTAACCTTGCATGTTGACTTTATTTTGGTTGAGTGGGTTTACTTTACTCTGCTCAGTGACCCTTGCTATTGCTGTAGAGTTGTATACACGCTCCACCCAGCCGTCTACTTTGTACCGAGTTAAGGAGTGGATCAGTATGTAGTGAGATAAATGGATTTCTTGAATGTTTTCTTGCTTCAATGTTTGAATTTAGGATTCAGGTCTCTACAGGAATCACTGCTGTTTAAAATAAGCAGTTTGTATTTCTTCTTTTTTGTTTCTGCTAGTCCGTCTGGGATCAAATACAGATTCAGCACTGGCTAAATTTCACAGTGCAGAACACTGGGTCTGGTTGTCAGCCCAAGAAATGAAATGAAGAGATGAACATGTAACACTGAGGCTAAGAAAGAATTATAAATACTCCCTAAGCTTGGATAATGTAACAATCACTTTGTTAAAATAAAAGATCATTTCAATTGTGCTTTATAAATGATTCAAAATCAGAACATAATTTTTCTTAAACTCAAAGGAAGCCTAAAATCATCTTGTTATAAAACCTTCTGAAGCATTTCTTTAGTTAAACCAACTAAAACAAATATTTAGAAATGACAATTACCATTGTTAAAAAGCATAATGTTAAAACACAGGAAAACTCTAAGTAGAGATTTATTTGAATCTCTTTACCACTCTACATTTACTCCATGATTCATTTCGGACTCAAATGCAAGTTCTACAGAAAAACGCATCTGAGTTGATTTAAAGAATCATGAACTATGAGCCAGACTTGATGTTTGTGACTCTAGTCTTATAACCAGTATAAACCATTGTAATTTGTTGGAAATAAGCCAGAAACTCTGCCTTAACTATAAAACTTGGTAAACTCTAGAGAAATTGTCAGTAAATCCTGGTTAAACTCGTGATAAATCCTGGTTAAACTCGTGATAAATCCTGGTTAAGCTGGTGATAAATCCTGGTTAAACTGGTGATAAATCCTGGTTAAACTGGTGATAAATCCTAGTTAAACTTGTGATAAATCCTGGTTAAGCTCGTGATAAATCCTGGTTAAGCTCGTGATAAATCCTGGTTACGCTCTTGATAAATCCTGGTTACGCTCTTGATAAATCCTAGTTAAACTTGTGATAAATCCTAGTTAAACTTGTGATAAATCCTAGTTAAACTCTTTGTAAACCCTTGGTAAGCTCGTCGTAAATCCTGGTTAAACTCTTGTTTAACTTTGTATAAGTTCTTGGTAAACCCTGGGTAAACATCTAGTAAAATCTGGAAAAATGCTGGATAACCTCTGGATAAACCTAGAATGGGCCAATCAGTGATCTGTAATTGTTGTTAAAGCATATTTGGAACAAAACCTCATATACAATAGGCCGTGTTTATCTAAAGAAGACACCAGAACCCTCTCTCTGTCAGTTTGAGCTTTTTCATTGTGTGATAAAAATGAGTACTGGACTAGGCTATAAGCTGCCTACTTTCTAATAATCATGTGTGAGGCCTCAGTAAACTGGCAGTAATAAGTTCAGAGCTCATCTTCTACCTTTGGCTGAGTGTTGGGGCATTTGTTTGCATTAAAGGTGAGAAATGAAAAATGAAGAGACTAGATTTAGCTTGAGAGAAAATGAGGTGAGTCAGTTGGTTGGGGTCTTTGGAAGAGTGCCTGGAGACCAGCTGCTTTCCTGTCACCATGGTGATCTGGGGAGGTGGATGGAACAATTAGATGGGGGAGGCATGGGAAGCAGTTTAAAAAGGTTTGGGTCAAGCTATGTCAGGTTCACTTTTTTTAGCTGCAAACTTAAAGGGAATTCCTTGTGGGAAAGTGTAGGTTTTAGCTTTAGTCAAGAAATTGATTTTCTTTGGTCTAAGATTGGTCCAGAAAGCTTGGATTAATTACTCTTGAATAGATTCTGTCTGGTTGCGCCTTCAGCTGAAAACAAAATCCCAAAACTAATAAAGTAGAAAGCAATAAATCAAACATCATTTCTTTATAGGGGCTGATAAGGCAGCTCTGAGCTTTAGGGTGACTGTAAATGCATGTCAAGAATTAGCTATCCTTCTGAACAATAACAGCACCCAGAGAAAAAACTAGAAAAAAAAAAAAGACAAACCCTGAAGGTAGGATAAGATCCATTAATTAATGTCAATATTCATACGTGCTGTCCTCTCAATCTCCGCAGTATTTGGCAACCATCTCATCTCGTCAGATGGACATGCAGAAGTTCATCGCTGAAGGCTGCAAAGAGGCCTTCCTGGAAGAGAAAAGGCGCTTCTGGTTTCTGGCAGAGAAGCACTGCATGTTTTCCTACCAGCTCAGCAACTTTCACGACAAAGTAAGCAAGGGGACATCTATATGTACTTATGTTAATTATAAGGATCTTTATACCCTTTGTAACTACAACGTTTCCTTATGTTTGCATAATGGTAATACAGGTTATTGATTTTTGAAGGACAGGCAATTACACTAAGATTCGTATTCTTCAATGTATTTTCTTTCTTTAATTTTTTTTTACAGGCCAAAGACATTCTGAATAGCAAACTCCCCACCTGGCAGGAAAAATGCAGCAACATTGACAAAGTTCCAGACTCAGTTACAGCGATGATAGAGGGTCTGGCCATCGATCCAGGATTGGCACAGGAAGAACGTTACAACAGGGTGAGAACATACCCGCAGATTTGTTCTCCAGAGTATGCTGTAAAAAGTTATGGTATATCATAGATATAGAAAAAAGACCAAGCCTATACTGGCACTGCAGAAAATGACACATTTGATGCATGAAGTCAGGACCTTTTTGGAACCTTTCTTAGATTCAGGCAAAGATTTCAAAAGGCTGAATTAGTTATTCTTGTGATCTAGGCTAGCAGCCATCTTTCAGCTTGTTGATGTATGTCAGGGGTCTTCAACGTTTTCCAGGCCAAGGACCCCCAAACTGATGGCCAGATGGAGCGGGGACCCCCTAATCATATATATTGTATGAATTGTGTTATATCAAACTGGTCCTATAGTCACTCTATTAGAGATGGAGTAATTAACAAAACTAATTTCTCCCTGGAATTATTAAAGCATCTCTGATTCTGATTCCTCGTTGATGGGACCGGTGTGACTACAGTGTGTTGAATTTATGTTAATGTTTATTTAAAGACATTTCAGCTAGTGGAAAAAAATAGCAGTGGGGAATATAAAAAAAGTCTAATCAACCAAAACTTTCGCGACCCCCATGCAGTACCTCCGTGGACCCCCTACGGGTCGCGGACCCCTGTTGAAGACATCCAGTGTAAGTTGTTCAGCAACATGTGGGGAGGGTAAAGTTCTGGTTTAAGCTTCAAATAGCTGGAAGTAGAAGTCTATGTATTCCAGCATATTTGCCATTATTTAGAAGGACCTAAAATTGTATTAACAATAAACCAGACAAACGGAGTTTAAGCTTGTTTAAACCCTAATGATAGCTGAAGTACGAGACTATAGTCTCTTAAGCTACATCATTTCATAGCCTGAATTAATAGATCTGAATCGGCTTCAGTTACAGTAGGTCTAGTCAAAATTCAGTATGGCTGCCTCTTAGCCTAGCGTCCGTCCGAACACACTAAGCCCAAACCTCCAGTCTGTGTTCTAACAGCTGTGTTTTCTGGCTTGAATGGTAGAATGATACAGCAGAAAATCTGCAGTATCATTCTGGGAACTTCCTACTTGGTTGTTGATAATCATCCTGCTCTCAATCATTGGAAGTTATGTTTGTGCTTTTGTCTCATTAGATCTTATTAGTGTGTTGGAGGAAGTTCTAATTACTTTATTAGCTGTGTTGAATTACTTGTATTATTGGCACTATTGTCTTGCCTATGATGTTATGGGACATAGATGTTAGGGGTTTTAGAAGCTTGTGTTATTGGTCTGTTTCTTTGCACTAATTCATATCCCCTCCTTAGAACAATGTGGGGTCTTTGGTCCCTCCTCCTGCGCCTCCGCTGAAGATCAGTCCGCTGGCCAACATGTTTAACCCTGAGCCCAGAACTCCGCTGAGCCCCACTTCAGACCACAGCTCAGGTACCTCACAGCTGCTCTGAAACAATCCAGTGGAATTAGCTGCATCACCTAGACATGACTCAGCAAAAACTCAGTGAAATAACTGCAGCCCAAGTCATTCAGACTGTTCATTTACCCTCCATCCTCCAGACCGGAGCAGCCTAGGAGAGGGAAATCTGTCCAGGTCCTCCTCCGTGTCATCTGGTCTTAACGTGGGGAGGAAGTCCAGGGTTAAGACCATCTTCCCTCACACAGCGGGCAACAACGACACCCTCCTTAGCTTTGATGATGGCGACATCATCACCCTGCTTATCCATGAAGAGAAGGACGGATGGTTGTACGGAGAGTTAGAGAAGACACAGCAGTGAGTGTTTTATGTCCTGCAGTTATGCACTGATGACGTTAGATGATCTCTGAAAGGCACCAACTTTTATCAGCTTTGTGGAGGAAATAAGAAAAAAATTGAAAAACTAATATTTCTAACTTTTACTGCATCCAGGTTTGGTTGAATTAATGTGCAGTAGTATAGGTCCTGTCCATCATTCTCTCTTTTTCTAACCTTTAAAATTTTTAAACAACATATGTGAATTTTGTTTTTAAACAATTAAATTTCTGAAAATGTGAGCTAACACCACAAGAGAAACAATTGTAATGTATAAAATCAACTCAGATCAGTTAAAACTATTAAGAAATAAATTTCCAGAAATGAACTCTGCTGAGGAGGAAGTGGCCTGATCCTATAATTAATTTCTATAAACTCTCTGACTAATGGCAGTTGTGGTCAAAACCAGTCTGAACAGTTAAATTCTTTCCTATTCACATTAGAGTACCGTATGTATGCCTTATTAGCACAACTGGTGAAACTGATCCCACATTTACTGAACAAGCATATGGGGACAGTGGAGAGGAACCCATTTATCAGCACAGGACCCCCAGCAGAACCAGGGTAAGTTAGAGCACTAATGATAGTCAGTAAAGAGACACAGTTTAGTCTTTCTATGGGGGGAAAAGGCAGCAATATCTCCAACAGATATCAGATGCAAGTAGAGAAATACTTTAATGGAAAGTGCTGCCAGGAGTATGTTTTTATGGATCAGATAAATGTTTCATAAACAGCTTTTAGGATATTTGTGGAGGTGTTGCCACTCAAGAAAATTCATTAAATCCTTTCCCTATTTTTTTTTTTTCTTCATCACCGCTCATCAGTGATCAAGCTAGTCTGGTCACTGATGTGCTGCTCAAACTACCCAAAGTTTGACAGACCTCCTCTTGCAGTTGCAGTTCTGTCGAGACATTCGCCAGGGGAAACAATACTTTTGTTCCCAGAAGTATGCAGCAGCAGTGACACAGAGGCGGTGTTCACATAACTCAGGTGGCAGTACTAGTTTCTAACAACCTGCTGTTCTAACACATCATGCCTAGAGAAGTAGAATATGTCAGGTATGCTTTTAAATGGGAAGATTTATCTTTCCTTCTTAGCAATACCACACTTATCAACACTTGGGACTTAAATTCTCACTCAGAAGCAAATAAATCTATCTGAGGCCTTTTAGTGGAAGATAGTGCCTCAGCAAACTCCTCCTGAAGACTAGGAGCTAACTGGACCTCCTCTGTGCTGCTGTTTGTTCCTGATGTCTGCTTTAACACTGGCAACATGTCCGTTGATGTGGCAGCAGCAGTTTAAATGGTCTAATTGAGCATTTTTAAATGCAGTCATTTTGTCCTCTAACAAAATGCTTCCTCCCCTGTTTAAGTGGCTCTGGTTATTGAAGGATGTTAATGCAGTCAGTGCAGCTGTATCAATCACTATATCATCTGTTTCCTAGCAACAAAACCAGCCCGTTTGCCATCTTTTACTCAATACGTGACCTGATAAACAAAATGTGTTTCATGTCTGATTTTTGTCCCCAGTGGTAGTTTACAACCATCTGGGTGTTAGGATGCAAACCTGTTGATGTCAATCTTTCTGAGCTTATTAAGTGAATCAATAAAAGTTGAGAAATAATAGAACCCTCTTATCTTCATTGTTCGAATTTGTTCATGTGTTATCAGGCGCGGTTGGTTCCCTTCGTCATACTGCAGGCCTTACACTGAGCCAGTCGGTTCAAGCAGGTACGCAAACATTGATGCATTTCTGGAAGCTGAGTCATAGAAGCCCCAGATAATCAAAACCTTTTTTGTATTTTCATTGTGTGCCTGAGCAGCAATCTGAGTACGCCGGTGAAAAGTCTGAGCGTGATCAGTCTGCAGGAGGAGGACGAGGAGTGCGAAGACTACGAGCCCGTTCTGCTACCGCCACCAGACTACAGTGATATAAGTCCATCCAGACAAATGCCCCCCTCACCACCTTCCTCTCAGAACACGGTCAGTAAAAACGATTCAAACTCTTTTTTTCATATTAACTGTAACATTTAACTCTGGTTA